AAAACACAGTGGATCGTGGATTAGCTGTAAATTATGGTTTGATGTTCGGATCTGAGGTTCTAAGCGAAATTTGGATCACAGATCTTTCTTCAGCCTTGGTCGGTATGTTAATGAGTTCATCCAAACTAAAACTCAGGTGTGAGACTGCTATTGGAATTGTACTATGTCGTACCATTAAGTATGCTGCTTTCTTTACTATTTGTGCGAAATTAACAATGGCATTCACATTTACCAGTTTACTTTTGAACTTTTATACTTCTGTTCCCAGATGTGATTGTGGTTTCGGATTTGAACAAAAACATTGGTGGATCGACGGATTTGGAGGAAAAAAGGCACGGATTGGCGGATTTGCATAGCCCTGTTCACCCCCCTCCCCCCACCCTCGATAAGTAATGTCGGAATCACGAAATAAGTTCACGAAACTGTGTCTGGTGTTGCTTTCTATTTCTACATTGTGTTTCTAGGTAATTCGAGCGATTTGTGGTCAATACCGTAAACTCTGGACTTAATTATACAACTTCGTAAGGGATTTTAGATGGGCTTAATAAAGGGAGAGGTTTATATTCGAGGGAGGCTTTAAACCGGAATAAAAAAAAACAGCCGTTTCCAAACGAGCTATATAGCTGCACCTGTTGATCGAAATGGGTTTTCCATTTACTGGCAATTAGAGTGGCTTTAAGTTGAGTGTCGAAAGTAATCAGGCAATTACTTTGGTTTTGGTTTTGGTTTTACCACGGTTTGAGCTCTTTAAGTAATTGGTTTGGTTTTTGTTTTACGACGCAATTGAAAACCGCTCTATTAAAGATTTCAATACTAGGAAAGTTAGAGGGGGGGCTTATATCCGGGGCGGGGGGATTATGACCGGGTGTATGTTTTTTTTTTTTGCCGTTAACAGGTTTTGGATGGTCTAAATATAACTTACAGATCAAACGAAATGGAAAGCAGAACATTGATATGTAAAGTCAGTCGATGCATATGTCAATGCAAGCTCGAGCAAATTGCAAGACGTTAGGCTTGCCGCTGTAATCAAAGAACCACATTCAGCGATCCGGGAAAGAAAAAAGGGGCGAGAAGTGAACTGAAAGGCTTAACTTTTAAGAAATGCACGATCCAGTTTTATTGTTTTACAGGCTTTACCGGCGATGACCCAAAAGAAAGATTCAGCGGAGGGGGGTTGGATGTAAAATTTAATACATACAAGGGGAGGGTATTACTTTTGCATTCCTTTTTGCAAACTGGAAAAGTAGTAAAAGAGTTATTAGAGTTCAAACATAAATACTAACATTGGAATAAAACTGACAAATTTATCAACTCTAAGGTGTTCTGATCTATGAACTGTTGTTTTCCTATCTGTCATGCTGTAGGAAAGGAATGCCTCTGTTATATATGTTAAAACAGTGCTACTTTATTTGCACTAGGATTCAATAAGACAGCAAACTTTAATTAAAAGTTGCAAAAGTAGCACTGTAATGTTATTCAATGAAAAAGAAAGATGTCAATGTTAGCACTAATGGCATCATAATTTAGCAGAATGAAAAACCTAACTGTTGAAATTTTAATAGCAATACAAATTTAAAGTATGGTAAAT